TTTACCATTTAAAGAGTTTTGCATGGAACGAAACAAATGGTAATCCGAAGGCGCAAGGGCAGGGCTATATGGTGGGTGTGACAAAACATCCCAACCCAGTTCCAATAATTTTTGCCGAGTAACCAAAGCTGTGTGCGGGGGCCTTGCGTTATCATGATGGAAAACAACACCCTTCCGATTTGATAATGCCGGCCGCTTATCACCAATTGCATCCTTCAGTTTTTCGAGTTCTTCAACATACACATTTGAATTTATCGTTTGGTTCTGCGGCATGAGTTCAAAATACAAAATTCCTTTGTGATCCCACCAGACTGACAGCATAATCTTTTTTTGTGAATCTCTGCTTTTGATACTGTTTGGGCTGGTTGATCTTACTTCACCCATGATCTCTTGCGAGTAACATTGTTATAAACTATCCACTTTTCGTCGCCAGTAACTAGGTTCTTCAGAAATGGATCATTCTCATTCTCATTGCGTTTCAGTAGCGGCGAATCACAGATGCTAATCCGTTGCGTCAAATGAATTTCCTTTAACTGATGAGGGATCCATAAATCAAGTTTCTTGACATAACCCAGGGTTTTTAATTTTTTTTTTCAATGCATGTATGCGACACATTGGGCTTCTCTGCAATATCTCGTGTTGTGCTGTGACGATTTAAATCGATAATGGCCTTGATATGGGTTTCATCCACTTCGACTGGGCGGCCAGATCGTTGTGAATTTTTCAGTGAAAAATCACCGGAACGAAATCTTTCAAACCAATTTCGACACTGCCTTTCTTTTAAGGCTTCATCTCCATATACGGCACATAACTTTTTTTGTGCTTGCGATGCGTTCTTGCCTTTTCGGAAGTAATACAATAAAATGTGTCGGAAGTGCACGTCTTGTTCTTTCATTTTCAAATTGGGATAAAAACAAAACTAAAGAACTAAACAAAAAATTTTTTTGTTAATTAACCTAGAAGCCCATACAGTAAGAAAAAAATATAGGTTAGATGCTCTGGCCACGTTAACAAAACAAAAGCATAGAGTGAATCTGTCAACAAAAGCGACAATGACTTAGTTGCCAACCCAATATATAATGTTTTTTTTTAAAAAATAATGGTTTCTAAAAAATCATATTTGGCATTAAGTCGTGGAACCGAAAATATAATTATTTAATAGGAGAATGGAACAAAATCTAATAGGAGTCAACACAACACTAGTAGACTTAATTGTGGTGATGTTTAGTGCATTTTTCGATATTGAATCTATTGTGCTTTGGAAGAGAAGGCTGTGAGAATGTTCCACTCATGTTAAATTTTTACTCGTAAAACGCTCAGTGTGATTAAAAATGTCATTCATGAACTCTTATTCTAATTAATTTGCTTTGTAATTTTTCATAACTTGCATTTCAAGATTGATACATATATGCTAAAGATGAAGACAAATTTATCTCCATTGAAAAATCCATGATATCCATAGGTTTTTTTTATCGACTGATACGTTCAATTAATAATTGATTCATTAGTAAATATTACTTTCCGGCACAGCATTTTAAAACTATTTTGTTTCTCTTTCCATTCCCTTTTAGCCCATAATCCATGCAGTTCGTCCGGGCTCACCACAAGTTCCTCCAATACATCACAGTCCTCCAGTTCCCCCTGGAGCCACCAATCGAGTCTCCCCTCGCACTCGCCCAGGAAGTTTTCTTCCAGGTGGTGGTAACGCTGCTTTTTCACCTCGAACAGAAAATACTGCCACCACCTCAGAGGCTTCTACACCAAACGCTGATGAGAACACCAAAAGGCTCCTCACTGATGCTACTGGTTCCTCTTCAAGAACTGGAAAAATCAGTGCAGGCGCTTCTTCAGCATCCACCTCCACTTCAATCGCCTCGTCTCTCGCCACCGTTCGACCAGCACGATCGGACTCTCCACCATCTCCACATCTTGCTCCGGCTCCTGTTGTCTTCGAGGAGAGTTTAAGCACTCTGGCTACAGTTAGACCTGATGACAGTTTTCCCACTCCTAGTCTCAGTCTTTTACCACCGCCGCCTCCATGGAATCATGATAATAATAATAACAGCATGAGCAGCAGTGTAAGCTCATCTCAAACGGGGGGAGGTAAAGGGAATAGTGCTGTTCGTCAACTTTTCGTCTGTCCTTACTGCCGTGCACTGCCAACAATGTGTCGTTGCTCGGCCTCATTGAATAGTGCTTCTGAGACTGGAAACAGTGCTAGCTTTGATGATAGCGAGGATGAGAGTGAAAGCACTTATGCTTTCAGCACTCTGGATTCGGATTTTATTGCTTGGATGAGGTTGAGTGTGAAAAATGTCCCTGCATCACATCCTTGCTACTCGTCTAGACAAGCTGAGGCTCTGGCTGCCCTTACGAGACAAGAAGTTGTCAATATTGTTGCCATCTTTAATACTAACCCACTTGGATTAAGAATGAGCCTGGTGAGTTTTAAGTTCATTCCTTTGATCTTTCCAATAGTAAAGGTAACCCCAAATGACATTCTCGGAACGTTTTAAGAAATCACTGTCCAATGACAGGGTTTTGAGGGTGCTTAAAGAAAAGATTAACAGTTCCCATTGCTTTTTTTCCAATCAAAAGCTTGCTCTCGTGGTCTCAATCTCGGCCACACAATTTTAAATAAGGGGAGGGGGCAAATTGTTGAAGACATTATCATAGAAAAAAAAACAAAACAATAAACTAGAATTTTTATCGACGAATTGAAGTGTGACAACTACTTCGGAGAATTTATCGCCGTAAAGGCCTCACCATTAGCATTAATATTCACTAGATATTGAGAGATCAATTTTACCGTAACCTATGCCTGAGCAGAATTTATGACAAATTTGATACTAAATTTAGCCAAATACTGTTTTCTCAAACCTTTCATTGTAATCGTAACTTTCTATTTTTTTGGGTGACCTTGAAGTAACTTACGGATTTATTTGAGGGAAACTAAGTTCGAATACAATCCTAGGGCTTCATGAACTTATAACAGAATGAAACAAGGTCCTCTTTTATATTTATCTTAATAACCATTTTGAAGGCTCTAATATGCGTATGGTTGGTTTATCGATTTATTAGGCCAACCCCCCCCCCTCCATCCCAAAATTATTGAAGGTCTGTCTAACTCAGCTATATTGCAACAGTAGCCCGTTGAGTATCATGTAAGATCGTTTAGAATTTTTTATTTTAGTATAGAAAATGAATTGAAGTAGCAAAACGAAACGTCTCTCAATACATTTATAGGAGAAAGTTTTACTTTAAATGCCTTTATTTCAATAAATTTTTATTTATTAAAAGTAAAGCGACAAAGGTGCCTATGCTGATTGCGTAACTAAACTCTTAACGAGCAATTTTATTGACGATATTTTTAAAGCTGTTTAGGTTAATTGCATGCAATTAAAGCAATTGCATACGCTTATTTTAATGGATATAAACCAGAGTGCGTATTTTGAGGGACACAAGCGTGTCTCAAACCTAAGACTTGGCATTTCGATGGGATAAGTCAGTCCCAAAACGAAGACTCCGAAAATTAGCTTACCGGACCTAAGAGAGGCGTGTCATTTGCTTGCTGGTCTATTATCTACTTAATTGTTTTAGCATAGCGTGACAGATGGGAGTGCGCGGTGTTGATGATTACCCAAAACAAAGGTTTCAGACGTCATAGTTTTCAGACTGACTACAAAAACAACATTTCCTAAAAGCAAAATCACTATAACAGTTGTCTGTTATTTTTCAGTCTCGTGGCAGTAAGGTCTTCACTTTAGTAGTAAAACGGTTGAGCACAAAGACGAGCTTATTTTAGTAACCGCCTATGCATCCACCAGTGAATTATGTGTTCTCTGAGACAAGATATGAAACTATAAAAGGCGGACGTGAGGGTGGATTGAAATTTAGTTGGATCAGTTCAAGTGGACTTAGGAAAGCATAATTTAACTAATGGTTTCTGAATTATTGCTAGCAATTTATCTGAATGGAATCTTTACCGTTATGTCAAGAACGTTATCTGTCTGCCTTTTAACCAACTTTGACCATTGCGCTCAAGCTAGATGAAACCTGGCCTTTGACTCAGACAAATAAACTATTCCTCCTGATAAAACTAGCCGTATTTATTAAAATGGTGAGAGATAATTGACGGAGTCGCAAATATAGGATGTAGGATGTTTGTAATAATATCATGTTTGGTTCGTCAATAGCCTTCTTCTTCTATTCGACTTCTCAGTTTGGAGCTTCCAACTATTTCAAAGGTTTTACAGCAGTTATAACCAGTTCCCTGTCGAAATGCAGACATTGTTATTTAGCTGCCAACGTTTTTCGAAATTTCGTAATCGAACTCTCATCATCACTCACTGTATTCACTCTCTTAGCATTCACAACAAATCCTACTGTGTTTGGGGTTATTGTTCCTGGATATGTTCCAAGTCGGTTGTGAATTAGGAGATTTAAATTGACTGTAGTAAATTCCTTAAAAATCAGATCACGATTTCTCTTTTTCATTTGTCAGAAAACAGGCTACATTTCTTAATACATGGAAAATTAGTAGAAGTGTTGTTTAAACGAATTCATTAAATACACGAATATGGTGTCTGCATCGAAAAGTTACGTGAAAGTATCAGCTGTTTGCGTATGGCTCTGCAATTCGAACCTTTCAGACAATGAAGTTATTAATCTTCTACAATCGGTAACAACAAAGCAAGCTGCAAGTGATCCACAATAGTCTCGTGTAATTAGTGTAAGTAATTACACATTTACGAGGTTCAGATTTCATGCTTTAATATTCATGCAACTTTAACAAGGTATGTGGATAAAGTAAGAAATCGATTTCCTATTTTTTTGTTCATATTGATACAAAATCGATATGAACACATTTCCTACCGATTTTACAATCCACTTATAGTTGAAATTTCTGGGGAAGATGATTAAGCGCTTTCGCCAATGAAACATGTGCTCTAAAAGGATCTAACTTCGCTGTTTATTGAAATTGAAAAATCGCAATTCGTATACTTCCATTCCACGTGTACTAAATTATCGCATATTTGGATAAGCTTGTCAATCATTGAAGCGACTATCGGTATGACTGAGCTCACAATTTACCAAGTATCCCAAACGATATAAACAATTTGATTTTCTGGATTAAAATAGTTTTTCAGTTAAGGTGTCCATCCTTCTATTTTTCATGAGGTCTGGTGCAGTTTTAGCTTTAATAATTGACAAATGACTGATATAACCGTGACAACACGTGGTTATTTCCATCCGCACCATATTTGTGATCATCTAATTTCAATTTATTTTAGTCGGAAGAAACGAGTAAATTAATAGGGACAATTCGAGTGTACATAAATCTCATAAAACCAGTGAAGATGTCTCTTCGCCAGACAATGCGACACATGCCCCAACAAGCCCCCGATTCCCCTGCGGCTGCTGTTCCTGACCGCCTCATCTCATTCTTCCTTCCACGTGGAGGTTCTCGCCTTCTCCAACTTTCTGGGTGAATTATTTTACGAATTAGTTTGAAATCTTGCATGTCACTGACTCTTGAACTCAAATAGTTTTAATATTACCTAATGGTTTCTGCAGTAGAATGGTTCAGAAAATCCATTCATGGGCCTTGGGTATCACAGTACGATGTGAGTTTCTAGTAAGAACGGCTCCCAAATACCTATCCTTCAATCAAATACTGAATCTAGTCAAGTTCATTATTTTAGTCTAAAGTAGATTTTTTATGATTTTGGGAACCATTTCGCATTTGCAACGTAAGTGGCTACCATATTAATGTATTATCTAAACAGCGCCGAATTTCGGTCAATTTTTTATTTAATTATTTATTTTATTGTCAATTAGAAATGCGCCCGGGTACTTTCTACAGTCCCTTGGTATTTTTCTTTCATGATATTAAACAAATATCATTTTTCGTATTCAGAAAGTTTAAATGAAGTCCCCAATTGGCCCATGGGATACCTGATGTCTAGTCGTATTGGGTGTGTCTTTCCAGTTACAAGTCTGCAAGCTTTTGCAGTTGGAAGTTATTTTTAACTTTTTTTAAACTAAGTGCTTCGCTCCTTGAAACGTTGATAGTGGATTTCAGACTTTCATTTTATGACAGTTGGCTAGTAGTAAAATTTCTTTATTTAAATTGCAACCTTGGTTCATTTATAATTTGGAAGATGGCATGGATCACTCGAATGACAAAAAAAGATGAATTTACTTCTCAACTGGAATCAGGAGTTAAAAAAGTTTTGCAACTTGAGTGCAATCGAATCGATTCTATTCTATTTTTCACGGTTTTCAAATTATACTTTTATTCAAATTTGAACAAATCTTACGCTTGGTTGACTTCACTCGATTTTCTCAAAGAAACGTAACAATGAAAGCAGATTTTCCCTTGCAATTGCAGGGAAAATTGTAGTCTGGCTCTCGTATGTGGTGTTAGATTCAGCGCTTTTATGTGTCTTTCCAATTTTTGTTTCGAGTACCAGTTTTTGTTTTAATGCTCCTGTTCGTTTTGGACCAGATTACAGACAGTTCAAGCCTCTCCTACCGTTCCCATGGCACGATGAATCAACAATCGCATTTGTTTATGAAAATGGCCGTATTTGTTTCTACAATCATGAACTAGTCATTGCTGGCTAATATCAGTTGAATATCGCATTAACCTTCAAAGGTGATTCATTGACCGTGGAAAAGTGGATTTCAGTTACTTTGAACACCTTACTGTCTTTACAAGAATTCGCTCACAAAATTGCCCCTTGTATGCCATTTTCTTCTTCCCATAGAAATTCTTTCGATATAGCGTGGAGAAGAGAAAAGCTTGTAGAAAGTTGAATGGAAAGCTGCTGATTGCTGTTCAATAGCCGTTCTTTAAGATGTACTTATTGAGGTGGGGTCGTTTGCGGTGATATACTTAGTGTCCAAGTGAATAACACTTGACCTTTAGCATGATCTTAACTCAGAGAGCCGAGAACCTCCACGTGGTGCACCCTGGGCAACGTATACTTATACGGCAAAAAAGGTCTATTGATCGGCAGTTGACTTCTGACTTCAAACTACTATGGTCCGACTATTTGTCATATTCGACCCCTTTCATAGTACCCATCTTAACTATTTTATGCTTTTGTGTCTGTCTGTCTGTCTCTTTTACATCTCGACTTTTTGCCACTTTGATGTTCTCTCTCCTCTCTGTGAAGCCGCGAAGTCAGCTCCAGGGCTAATGATAACTATCAAAACGCCTGCCATTTGATATAAATACCTTTAGCAAGAACAGCTCGACAGACCTCTAGATGTCGAGGGACTTGGTATAATGCACTCATGGATGGCAAAGCTATGTGTGAAAAATAAATCACCTAACGTTGCTGAAAGTTTTCAACCCCTTTGTCAACCTTTGCAGTTACTCCTGAAACTATTTCTTTGCCGGTGTATACTTTTGATCCTCCGGCTATTTGAGATTCCAAATGCCTAGACCATGATAATTAAGACTTTTATAATTTCTTTTATCTCTTGTAAAAGTGGATAATTTTTGACTATTATTCATACAAGACGAGTAAGCAGCCAGGGAATTTACAGTTTTGACTAGTACTGTAACTCTCAAAGATCTGCTGTTCGAGAGTAATGAAGCCCTCTGGCAACACAATTTGGGCTTCGTCATTTTGGCTTATTAACCGTTTAAGACTTCCGCGTAGACTGCACTTAGTGCATGCTTTTATGACTGCTATTTGTCAAGCATCGCAGGCGCCAATTTCTCCCAGAAGAGGCCACAAAAATGGCCTGTCAAAGGCGAAGAGACTGCTGAGTAAAGTGAAGCGGTCATTTGAAAAACAAACGATCTGGCTATTTTCCAACTGGAATTTTTTCGCCAAAACGAGAATAGAAGCTTACTTGGCTTGCACATATAGTACGAGGGCCACTTACTGCTCCTCTGAGGGAGATATGATGCCACTCTTCGCATTTTGGTAGACAGGCTTTGGTCGAGGTCATATACCTAAGTGGAATTGATGAATAGTGCAGTTGTTAAGGCCTAGTCAACGAACGAGGTCAGAGAATGATTGACCACATGTGAGCACAACAGAATTTAGCACCTTGACACGCCTCAATGGAAAGTGTATTGCGGTTCAAAACCAATTATTATAACTCTATTGGTCTCAATTTTTGGCTTCCGAACTCCTTTCTTCCGATCTTAATCCAACGCACTATACTCGTGTACGGGACTCTATTGAGAAAGGTACAAATCGTCGTGTCAGCACTCCAAAAGATAACTGGTGTATGGGCAGATTGAAAGTAGCTATTGAAATGATTCCTATGGCTTGAGGCTGTAAGGGATGTAAATGACTGTTGCTTTGGGTAAAATTCTCAGCTATCAGCACCTTTTTCTACTTGAGACTTTCAAATTTATCCCGAGCACCCTGTAAGCCCATTCGGTGATTCACTTAACTTCTTTGCCATAGATCAGTGTTTCCAAAGTACCCTCTATAATTTCCTGACATTTTCTTCTGACATTTGTTTTATCTCGGGACCTGGGTGCCATTTATAGCAGTTTGACCAACTAGATTTTTCTCATAGAATGACCATTTTACGATTTTTGCTTCATCTTTCTTTGTTCTGCCTATCGGGAACCCCCCCCCCCCCCCCCCACGGCTTTTGATTCAAAGGAAACTAACTGGTTGACAATTATCATCAAAGCCGGTAGTTGAAAATGGATATGTGGGGAAGTGGAATTGGGTGGTGGAAAATAGGTGAATTTCTTTTTCCTGGGAGCATTCGTGACTCAGCTTGTAAATGCCTTATTTCATTACTTCAATTTGTTCATCTCTACGCCAAAAAAAACAGCAAATGAAATTAACTTAGTCGGTGAGGCTAATTGAATATGCATTTGTCTGCCATCCATCGTTTTCTTTCCTTTCTACTGAGTACTATAGCAAGATTAAATAGAAAAAAACTGCTTTTGGAAAGCATATTTGTAAGCATTCGGTTCTTTGAATACTCGAGACTTGCCTACAATATGAGTCTAACTTGGTGCAATATGACCGCATACTTCTACATCTCAGTAAAGTAGGCTCGATTTATATTCCTTGGAAAAACGAAAAAAGAACAATTTATTCTATTGAGGAAAGGTATCTGAACAAGAACCCAAGTTAAAAAGGCCAGAAGGATATAAATAAGCCATAATTTCATTTAACAAAGTAATTCTTACTGACTTCTTTGTGCCAGGTTTTAATTTTCCAGCTTCCCAATGCATGGTTTCGAGTTTGTTTGTCTTAATTGAGTCATTGACAGCATTCATCTGCCTTAACATCTATGAGGAGGAGGTAGGTGATGCCACCATCGAAGGGTTCATTTGATCACAGTCAATTAAAGTAGGGCTCATGTTGTTCCCTTTCACTTTAAGTACACTCTGATGAGCACTTTGCTCTTTTGTTAAAATTGTTTTGCTTCTGACTTATGTCAGTAGAAAGATAAAATGAACCGAAGTGATGTAGTGATTCATCAAATTAGGTCCAATGGTAGAAGAGATGTGGATATTGCGTATTTGGCTTTCATTTAAAAATCCACCTATTCAATAGTATCAAATGAACTTGAGTATATCTGAATACTGTAATAGGAGTTACAGATGTTGGGAGGAAACCTGACAACTTGATGCCTAGAGTATTCAAACAAAGCGGAACTTTTGTTATTGCAAATCCATTTAATGTATACTTCTTTTCATTCGTTACTGGACTATTTTGACGCTTCAGATGTTTGGATGTCATTTTACTATCAAAACTAGCTGTTTTTCTTTGCATCACTGTAGGCCAAAGCAAGCAATATTGACAACGACATTTATTATTGATATAAAAAAAATAGGATTGCTCCTTTCCAATTTTGGAGTGGGAAGTTGTATCTTATGCGTCATATGCAAAGCACAATTACCGCTACTCTTGGGAATGCAGATCTGTGTGCACCGTGGCGTTTATTGGTTGAAACGTAAGTCATAGACATATTAGGGGTGGGGGAGGGGGACAATTTTGGTCCGCTTTCGGGTATAGATGAATCATAGCTAGAATGCATCTTGTACATACATCAGTATGCTTACGTTTATTGAAAAATTCGTACACACACGCACACAAACGCGCACACAAGTTTTCACCATAAGAGCGCATTTAGCAAACTGTAGGTCCTAGGCAATTTTGTTTACCTTTCGAATGCTCTGCCAACGGTGTTGAAACTTTGCTTCAAATCATCCCTGCCATCTGTTCATACGCACAAAGAATCCACTGGCGCTCACACACCCATTGCAAATGTTAATCGTCTCTAAAACAAGAACACTGATACAAAAGCTAAACCCATGCAGCGTAAAAATAAGCCCAACGTCTGTGGATTCAAGCATTTTTAGTTCCCTCTTGATTAAGAAATTACACTTAATGCCGCGCCATCTCTCTCTTAAGTCAGAGGTCGTTTTTATCTGGTCAGCAATATAGTTGGTATAATGTGAGCCTCTTACCAGAGTCTCTTTAGCATACCCTATAGCGGTGTTTATAGAACTATTTCTATGCTAACTTCTACTGCTAAAATTTTATACGTATTCTTTCATTCCCATCTATTGCAGTTCAAATTCCGCCAATTAATGTTAAGCTCCACTCATTTCTCTAAATGACCGTAGGATGTATCACATGCATAATTACATGAGGGTGTCTGAAGACTGACCAATTACCAAAGTCTTTGCAAGAATAGGGAAAAAGGCAGAATTCAAGTGTAATTGCGAATGCACTGATTAAATTTCGTCCTTAGGATTTAACTTAATATGCTATGCTAATATTATGTCAAACCTTGTCCTTTTTATTGGAAAATCAATAGCTTAGGATAGGTGTAGAGCCAACTTGGTTGTTTTATTTTCTCGCAAGAAGAAAAGCTCAGAGTTTTGGAGCAAAACCTCCAAGAGGTCCTTCTAACTGCACTTCCCATACAATTTTCACCACCTTTTTGCCACTTCAAGCACTTAGATAATTGTTAAACTGACACAATCAGGTGTGTGGTGTAGAATCGCTGCCCATTTAGAACATATGCGCTTGCTCTGAGCCCCAGGACTTTCCATTGCCATTAGTGCACATGTACTATTTTACACAGCGCATTAGACAAAATATTAAAGTCCTAATCTCTCTGAAAATTCTCAGTTGCGTTTGCAAATTAGCAAACAAATTATGACAAACCGAAGGTTTTACTGGCTCAATGGAGTACTGTAAATGCTATCCATTGCAGGATCTATTATGAGTATATGATCTGAATGAAGGTACCGTTATTGTACTATTTTGTCAGAAAGATTTAGGGATGTTTGTCTCCACTAAATCTGTCCAATATTTGACAAAGTTTATTATTGGTTCCTTTGGGACAAGACTAAAGGACCGCTCTGCAACAGTTCTCTGAATCTGTTTTCAACAAGATTTGTTCTCGAGGAGGTTTTGGAATTTTCAGTAACCTCTTCGCCTTACCATCTTTCTGGTTGATCTTTGCCTCAATGCTTATAATACGGTTGACCTGGCTCGTTCTTGTCGTCTTTTTTATTTAATTCCAATTGTTTTGGCTGATTTCTTTTAAAAAAATCGCATCTAGTACATTGCATCGGGGGGGGGGGAGATTGAGTCATTTTGTTCATAAACAATCAGTTCAAGTGGTTTTAAAAAGACGTAGGAACATTGAATTTGACATGACGATTCTTTTATTTGCCTTGTATGATCATTAAGCCCCGAAAAAAACGCAATAGGAACTACCACCTAAAAGTATGCAAGTTGAGGCATCAACAGACAACTGAATGAAAATACGATTTATCTTACGAGTTATCTTACTCAGATTAATATTGAACCTCTTCTCTATCATTTTTTGTCTCATGTGCTTCTTATTTTGTTTTTGCACCCTTTTAACCCGCATGCAATACCAGACTTAATTAACGTTGTTCCATCTTCAAGTGTCCCTTGAAAGTTGTCTTCCACTTTGTCTGTTACTTTATTTTCCTTTTACCTATCGTCTTACATTTTTATGCCCGAAAGTACACTATCTAATTTAAACTAATCATATTGCGAATTCATTGAATGTTTGCGTTTGAATAAATGACTTATTTTCACCATTCGACTTTAGTTCAACGTCTGCTCAAGAAGTGATCCAATGCCTTCTCGATCGATTTCATATTCAGGAGTCTGCCAACAAGTTTGCACTTTATGAGCATACCTTGGAAACTCAGACAAGTAAGTTTGCTCATTTTAGCTGCAATGTAATTGATTAAATCTATGGTCTAATTTAATTTTATAGGCTGTGGAGTAGGTCCTATTTTCAATTGAGAAAATATTAATATAGTCTTAGCAACCAAAATTATTTGATCGCCATCTAAACATCGATCTTAAATATGGTTGATATACAAACAAAGTAGCAGGACGTGCAGCCCCCCCCCCCCCCACCCTCCCTTTTCCTATTCTTCCTTTCTATCGTTCGCCAATCAGCAAGCGCTGACCCATCAGTCTTCTACGTCACCGCACTTTAGACTTTTGCCACACGCGCACGCAGCGGGCGCAAAAGCCGTTCAAGGTCGATCGATGAGTGCGTGCGTACTACTTCAAGAGCTTCGGCCACGTCGTTTTGGTTTTTATCGTGCGTTAACACCGCGTTATTCACAAGTGCTGTGTTTTTGCATCGTCAACTAACGCCATTATAGTTCACCCTTGTTTTTCTTTAGCTGTTGCTCTCTTGGAGGGGTTTATTACAACTCTCTGGTATTAAAAAAACTTTACTAATATATGGTGTAGAGAGAAAAAGGCTAGTGGAACAACGAATACAAGCGTTTTTATCAAAGTCGTAAATTCGAAGACAAATAAGTTATTTACCCTACCGCTTTAGGGTGTATACAAATTCAAATCCCAAATTTTGTAGTTTTTGTATAGTTGTAATGCGCGGCGGAGCTTGATTGATTGGCATATTGTCATACGCTATGTCTGGCTTGTCAGAGAATGTGTTTGGGTGTGAAATCAGCCATTTTTAATTCGGTGTGGTTTGGTAATTACTGCAGCTAAATAGTCTTGGGGTAGAGTTTCTGATTGCCTCTTCACAAGCTTTGTTCTGTTTTTTATCAATTGAAACGTTTTATCGTCGTTCCTTCAACAAGATCCCATATCCTTGGCTCGTTTGTATTTAAATCAGGTGGCAAATCTCCAAGTCGGACCTTTTTTCGTTCTACTAAGATAATTCTACCCCATTTCTTAGATATATACCAAAATTGGGACGGTTCAGGCAGCTCTTTGCTAGGTGTCTAGATGAGTGACGTCGCATCCATTGACCTGTATTGGCCTTCGACTTTCCTTTACGGGGTTTATTGTGTTGTATAGTTGCAACTGGAAGTTCTTCCATATGGGATCGACAGAAAACCGATAGCTTGGTGATTTTATTATAATACGAGATAGAGTAAGGCAGCATACAGCTCACAGCTGTGATAAAACGGATATATGCAAATACTTAAATTTGAAATACATGCATTCCCTATGGTTGACATGTATTCTGATATCGCATCGAATTAGTACCTGGTTGCTGCCTAGTTTTTTTAGAGTGACAAGATGTCTCAGTGACACTGAATGTATTTTCTCCATGAACGAGGGTCGGAAATGAAAATACAGCGTCTTTCTCTAAAAAAATCAAAGGTAAAGTGGATCTGGGTGTGGAGTCACTCCATTCTCGAAGGTGAGATTTGAATTTAGCTCTTTATTCCGATTGGCCGACTATGATTAGGACTAAAATACTTATCTCTCTGTGGTTGGACTTAGTTTTTTTGGGACTAAAATAATCCAAATCTGTAGCATTTGCGTTTGCGTCTGCCAAATATGTTGAAAAGAAAATTTCGTCAACGAGAGTGGAACTCGTCCATTTACGCACTGCACCCTTCCTCTTTGGGCCCATTTGACAACAGCTTAGAATTTGAACTATAATGAAAAGAAGCGGTGTGTTTTTAGGAACGAAAAAATTGCATGCCTGTTCACAAATTGTGATAACAGGCTTCTCTATTTACCCTATTATCGTCCAAGAGATTTCACATGAAATATTTCGTTTTAAATTGCTATTGGTTTATTGAAAAGGGATAAAGTGAATTCAAGAAACTGCAATGAGTATTGACTTCTGTTAGCATCTATGCCATGTTAGTCAGTTTATCTTTGCCAAAATTTAAATTTCTGATTAAAAATGATTTTACTGCCTTTTCAGTATTGTCACGAAAGTTACCCCCATCTGAACGCCCACTCTCGATGGTGATGCATTGGGTGCGTTCAGCACAAGCATCAGGCGAGGAATTCGCCTCTGCCATCCGTCGTAAGCGCATCGTTCTTCAGGAAAATGAAAATTGGGAAGTTGATGTAAGCATTTATCATTATTTTAAATCTTTTTTTCCATCGTTTGGTATCTCAAGCGGAAGCAAAATGTCTTACCTTTCATCTAGCTATATTTCCGATCTCACTTTGACAATTTTCAGCAAGAAGTTAAAGTGCTCAAATATCTTGCGATCTAAGAGAAGGTCAAGTTTAAACGCAAAAAATCAAATTTAAGTTTTCGAATATTTATTAATGGTAAATCATGCGTGCTTCAGGACTTGGAGCATCAACTTTGAGTAAAAGGCTATGGGATTTGTTAGCATCCTAAAACCATTATAAACTTGCTTTTTTATTTTGGTCAAAGCAGACAGAAACGTCCGCTTAAATTATTTACAAAATCCCTTGAACACATCAAGAAAAGTCTTAACGGAACTTAAATTGTGGTGCACACCTTGTTTACTGGACCTGCTAGTGTGGTTGTTCATCGAGATCACTAAATTAGCGAAGGCTAACACCGATATCATGACTTTTGACTTGATAGACGGCCACATTATTTGCTGTGCCCTCTTCCATCTATACTACTTTCTTCAATTAATACAAATTATCATTTAAATTAACCTCAAAATCAGGCCAATTTTTCCCACGATTTTCTGATCCTCTTCAAAAGAGCACCTAAATATTCGTGTATATTTTCTTGTTCTCAAGAGCGCTTTATAGCGAGAGGATAACTAGGTTAATTAGCACCTAAAGGGCGGTATTTCCAGACACCATAAATCTCCAAACATTTGTTACGCTTTAGCTAAGTGTAGGAGACTGTTAGAACGCAATGATTTATACTCTCTAGCCTCTAAAATAAAAAAAAACAGGTTAACCAACTTCATGTCTGCAAACTTTCGCTATTTGGATACTGATTTGGGCAAATTCAAAATAGGCAGACTGCATCAAGTGGCACACTTTCCTTTTTTGCCCAATTTTCGTTGTTTACTTTCCTTTTAGCGCACAAATTTTGTGTTCATAAATATTTTATCAACTTTTCCTCCCTCAAGTATACAATTTCCGTGTTGTGCTTATCTCATCAGTTAAGACAAGCCCTAACGCCTTCAGGTGGGTGTTTGGAAGAGATTACACGTTTAAGACAGGTAGAATACTTAGTGGAATGGCGTTATTTGAAGTTCGGTAAATTGGAGAAACCGTTAATTAATTTAATGGAAATAAACCGCAGTGCATTGGTAGAAACAGGTGAAGCTGTACTTGCAGTAGGTGAAAAAAATTGAACAAAAAAATCGATATTACTATTTGCATAAGAGATGGCATTGATCAGGCCACAAATCACTTGCCAAAGCACACATCAAAACATATTCATAGTAAATTCCATTTCATTTTTAATTGTTCTGGGGAGCCTTATAAGTTAAGGACAGGTTAAGATGGAAATTATGTGTATGGAATAGCTGACCATTTGACTGAATTTAATAATAGGAATCGTTCCATAAATGATATTTAATGACGATCAATCATTGAAAGGAAAAGTTTGTTCGTACCCAAATAACAGTAGGTGGTTAAAATAGTTAGCAAACATGCTACTGATCACTTCTAAATTTTTTTGCATTAAAGCGTAACACTTTAATACCAAGGTGGCAACATTGTCGAGCAGAGCTTTTATAAATCTTTGACTTCAGGGTTGAAATGGTTGATTTTTACCTCCCAACTCACCTTTTTGAAAGTTATACACCTTCTGTGGGAAGCATATTGCCGATGAATCAAATACAACCACAAGTAGAGCACCATCTTAACAGGAACTTTAACTCAGTCAAGTATTTTTCACATGAGTGATCTAAGAAATAACTATTTTATAATAAGTTTCTTTGATAGCTTCGCGGATGCCTGATTCGATATTTAAATTTGCTTTTAATTTTATAAAGTGGTCAGACTTCACACCGGCAGAGTTGATGAATTTCCTTCGAATATTGGAAAAGGAAGAAGCTGAGTATCGAAATGCTATATACTACCAGTATGGTCTGGTTCGTCAACAGATAGAGCAACGTATGGCCCAATTAAGTGCTCAGGATCGGCTGTTAGCTGCTCGACACTCGGTTGCCACTTGCCCCCCTCCTCCCGAACAATTGATCTGTCCTTCGTCATCGACCAGCGTCGCCAATACTTCCAACAAGATGGAAATGCATCATGCCAGTCTCTGAGGCACCTCTCAATCTCCTCGAGTTGCGTTTATCTGTACATAGCCATCTTCACTGCCCTCTTTGGCTTCTTTAATTCTCCTCTCAAAAGATTGTGCACTTGTCATTCTGATCCTCTTCTCTTTGAATATGCCAACCAACAACTATCACTCATTATATCCTTCCCGCCCACGTTTTCTTACCCCGTGGTATTCAAATTTATATAGGAAAGATTGAAAACTAAAATTTAAACAGCTTAAGCGTATAGCGTTACCTTATAACGGTGAATTGCGGTTGGATATTAGCGGATAAAAGGCTTTACATTTTTGGGTTGGAACTTTCAGTAACAGTAGGTATGCAACTAGAGAACGATTTTAGACGTGGTGACGCATCATTTGTGGAAGTGGAATGAGTTATTAAAAAATAAATAAATAATTTACTGGACACTGTGTTAGTGTCTGAACGACGGGATCCAATTTTTTTTTGTTGAAGTGATATTGTTCCATTCCGATTACTGACTGTCTTGAACTTATCAAAATTTCGAACATTTCTATGGACCCAGATTTTATTTTCAATGTTACGTGAAGAAAATATAATAATAATCATTATTATTATTATTTCAAATGGCAGGCCTTATGACACTTATCATTAGTCCCTTAGTTCACTTCAGCTTTCACCACGGGGGGGGGGAGGGTAGAGCACATAGCAGTTCATTAGCCGTCTTTTGGCTTCCCAGTATCTCTAAGCGAAAGATAATTGGCCTGTTGAACTTACAGGTATTATGTTATGAGGTGGAGACACGATACGCCTATCCTAAGACTCACAGAGGTGACAAGTAATTAAAGCATTCAGTTTAATGTTTTTCTTAGTCAAATTTTGTGGGTTGACGTTTAGGACTTACCTCCTTCAAGGCGCATAGAGAGGGTTTTTTGAATTACCATGATGAATTTTTATTTGATTGGTTTTATTCATTTGGTTGACATGTCAATCAGAAGCTGTCTCGAGTTAAGTTAATTTAACCTAAGTTCACAAGAGATTACGGCTGATTAGATATTGAATTTAATTTTAAAAACAATTTTGGCATTTTTCAAATAGTCTTGTATTCTGTCATGGCCGCCAATAGCGAAAAAACGGTTTTTATTCTAGCTTTGTTCGTCGATGCGTCACCTTCGAGGGTAAACATTTTTACCCTGCTAAGCGGTCATGCTGCGTAAAGTCCCACGATTGAGTATATAAATTCTTTCAGTGTAATTACTAAATCTATGCAAAACGCAGCACCTTTTGTTACAATTTACAGAAATGCAAAAAAGTCACCAATTGCTTGAAGGAACCGAAATTGGCTGGCGGAAAGTTCAACAGACGATCAAAGAGGCTGGTGGAGGGAGGCGGGGATGACAAACATCAGGATAGCAAAAAAGCACGATTTATTTGTCGTTTTAGTTCGATTTGAACAAACTTTTCATTATTATTATATCAAATGGCAGGCGTTTTGATGGTTATCATTAGCCCTTTAGTTGACTTCAGGCTTCACAGAGGGGAAGGAACATCAAAGTGGAAAAAAAAGTCGAGAGGGGGAGGGGAACAGAAGAGTGCTTCAAAGACGAAGGTAGAAAAAAGGTGAGGTGAGTACTGTGGAAGTAGTCGAATATAACATACAATGTAGTGAGGGTAGTTTGAAGTCAGAAGTCAACTGCCGATTAATAGACTTTTCTGCCGAATGAGTAAACGTTGCCTAGGCTGCACCACGTGGAGGTAAGTCTATCGCACACCCCATTTGAACAAACAGTTAGTAAATTTGAACAAACTTACTAACTGTTTAGTTCGCTCACGGAAAGTCGAACCTCATTTCTGTTGACCAAATTTTCTCACCAAAAACGAGTCTGACCTAATGCTTCATTTTCAATTTTTTGCCCAGCGATCAAAATGGTGAGACGTTCTTAGTTGATAGTTAGTAGCTCACACTGTTAGTATGGCATCGATAAGAGAGATAGGAATCAGCTTGAACCGAATTTTTTAACCAATCACCAATATCCAATGGAGTTTTTTTCTGTCAGAACAATTCCTGTTTGTGCAATCTAACCAATTTATCACCGAATATGTTTCCATTGCCTCGGTAAAGGGGAGCAATATATATCAGAGATAACATTTGTTATTCGTAATTGGAAAGCACTCTGAGACACTGTGTTTATCCCAACAATGCTTCCTAATTGACGTTGACTAAAGACAATGCCCACCATTTCAGGTAGGTAAACAATGTTGTTTGGGGAAAAAAATAAAATTTTTGGGTCTCCAGATTTGATGGCTTTTGGTTTGATTGATACGCAAATACTGTGAGGAATGCGGTAGCTATCTTGCGCTGGGAACATTTCCATGCATTATTTAAGATAAAAAAATTCAAAATAAAACTCTACTTTTAATGAAAAAAAATGAGGGAAATATAAAACGAATATTTATTTTAGGGAATAACTATGTTTCCCACACGTCTATTCCCCCCTTGGCGCTTGACCTTTTACTGTTGCTCTTTCCTCGTGTGACTTCTGCTTTGAATTCCACTGAAGTCTGCTCTGATTTCGACAAGCACTTTTAAAGAAGCGCATGTTCTTCAGCAGATCTTTTTTCCGATCTTTTACCATTTCCTTGCAGATAATCTGAACGTGTCCACAGGAGGCAAGGTGGGTCTGATGCATGCTTTTATTTGGTTTCTATCCCAAATTCAAATGGTATTATTTACTGACATTTCATAGATGACATTTCACCTCTATTTGACCACTGCTGCAACCGATCAGAAGTGACCAATTTGGGCAGTTCGAGTATACCGAGATCATTGACAATAATGACTTCCGCTGGTTTATTCGTCATGTTCTTCGACATCATTTTCATGTTGATGGTGGTGTTACTTGTGATTCTCCACTCGGGATCGAATGAGGAGTCATTCATCAGGGATTAAAGAACTTCCAAATGACTTTCATTGTTGCTACTTCCACTTTTGCTTTCAGCAGAGACTTTCTGAATATGCCAATGGAATGAAGGTACATCAAAGGCGCTGACAGTCGGCGTCGCCATTTCTTCCGACCACGTGGGCTGAGAAGACAACACCAGCAGAGTACAATTGCACTCTACTCTCTGATGTATGCAGTGAGGACCAAGACGTTTGTTTTTTCTTTCTATATGAAGGGCTTATAGCAGCAGTCTCTGACGCGAAGTTCTATGTCCTTGCCCATTCACAACCAGTGTGTATATCCTTTGGTTAACCTTTCCATTTCGTTTATCCCTGAATGATATTCCCGACTGAATTATTTTTAGCTCACTTGAGCTAACGCACCCCTACTCCTTTGGTCACGAAGTCTTGTCGCGGCTAAAACTTTAATGAAATTTAAATACGCCTTTTCTAATCTCGAAGCTATTGCAGATGAACTGATTTTGCTATAATCAGCTGGTTATACAAACAGTAATTCACATGGCCATTTCACAAGTAATTGCAAGTGTTAACCTGGTTTAATCAAGCTCATTATTCGTCTAATCAAAGGTCACAATCATTAAAATTAAGCGCTGCCCGAGTTTTTGATTGTGGATAGAGATTTGGGGGTGTATTATTGAAATCATTTTTCTCAAATTTTTAGAGGACATAGATGTAGATTGGAACCCAGACAGCTAATAGTTGCACTGAGGTGATGCACAATGTGTGGAGTGACAATAAGGAGTCCTTTTATGCCAGAAAAATATATAGGCAAAAAAAATTCAATGCCTATAAACTTATGCAAAAAAAGTTCAATGCTACAAAGAAAGGAGAGTAAAAGGAACCTCTAGGTTATCTCATTTGTCTTCCGAAAAGGGGGTTATGGAATGTTGTTTTAATTGACAGTTCTTTGCCTCCAAACTTCAAATTTCATGAATAGTTAATTGAATGATGATTTGAACTTTTACCCACACTCTCTAGCGCCTAGTGACATTTCTTCCACTATAATAGCCCATCTCGCCAACGCGGTTTAGTCCTGCTTTTTGAAGGTCGAAAATGCTTCCTAGTTCTGTAAAACCTTAGACTGTTTAAGGGATCTTAAATTAGTGGAAATCGCAGTGCAATATTTGGACAAGGCTGCACTCCATTATTCTAAAAATATTTTTTCCTATTCAAATTTATTGAATTTCAGGGTCCTATGCATAAATGTATTAATAGCTATTAAGAAATGAGACTGCCTACCTATTTCGCCAGTTGTTATTAAATTGCCATTCACAAGATATCAATTAGTTTACGAACTTGGAATGAATACTGAGGAGCGCACAACTCAGTCAAGGTTGAGCTAAAAAATCGCCTGCGCACCCAGACAGACTCGAATGTGCGGCCATGCTACTTGTTGCGTAGGTAGCAAATGCAGTCGTGAGCGCGGCGGCCTCACATCCAGCCGCTGATCAATATTTCCTGTGTACTTTTAACAAACTATTCATAGAATCTTAATGACAAAGTTTTGTGGCAGGCACAGCCCAAATAAACGTGTTCCACGCATATGCACTTTTCCTCTATAACTTTGCGTAGCTTTGAACCATGACGTAGAGATCCCTGACCATAAGTCAAAGCTGATTAACGTAGCGAACAGTTACGATGTTAATAATGTATTAAAATGCCTTTATAATTTCGAAAGCTATCAAAATATCTTGCATCAAAATGAAATATGAATTTGATAGACTAGAGAAAGCATTTTGATTTGCTATGAATATTAAATACAATTAAATTTCCTAAAATTAGCAAAATAAGAGGCATTTTACAAAGCTGATTTAATTGTAGCTACCTCGAATATAAGTAATAACTAACATCTCCATAATGCAGAGATGGCAGATTTACTGTTACTTAACCATAACGTTGACGAATTCCAGTCTCGCTTTGAGTAAAGTTAAGTACATTTTTGTCTTTACAAAACGTTCTACTGACATATATAAGTAGGAAGATATTTATTTAAATCGGATAGAAGTACTCATTAATCGAGTTACACAAATCTCAAGTCGATCTAATCTATTATCCAGACGAATTA